GATCCGTCTGACGCAAAAAAAGTCGATTTTTCAACTCTCTCAATATGTGATAAAAGCAACCAACAATCGGAATCAGGTGTTTGAGTTTGATTCATTAGATTTGCAAATTGGAAAACAATTAACTATACATGCGTATATACATATATACTCAAATGCATAAACTGTTGTCATTTATGATTACAGATAAAAATTCTTTTGGTTAAAACGAAGTAGATTATATTCAACATTGACATATTTATGTGTCCTTTCGGTTGTGATAGATTGTAACAGAAAATTAAATTTTTATGCATAAACCACAAATAATGGTAAGAAAAAAAATGATTGCAATGATAATTCATTTATAGATTTAACAATAATAATTGTATTTAAAGAAATATAATACTCTTTTTCAATACTATTAAAAGTCTTTTTTGTCTTTTATCTGATGTTAAATAAGTCAATATTATGTATGGAGAATTCGATATGAAAAATAAAACAAAAAGCTTGTTTTTCAGAAGTCAAACTTATAATTTTAAATCTATGAAAATAATATTAATCGATGAATGTATAGTCGATTGTTTTCAAACTGATATACTTTCATTTTATTTATATTTAGCGAACAATTTGTTTTCGTTTTATTCTCTACACTTACAATAATAGATGAACTATTCAACGTCATATTCAATACAAAGTTGTCAATGTATTGATCTTTATTCGGCTGCATTCCACACAATTTCTTACTTAGATTGAAAAAAAAATTGACACTTTGATCAATGTACAGTGTTTTCTGAGACGACTAATCTAAACACGTTTTTTTTACCAGGTGTAATCAAAACGAAACTTGTATTATTATGAATTTTATTCGTTGAAAACAAAAATAGAAGTTTCAAAAATAAAATTTACTACTCCGAAAAAAAGCATCGATGATATTTTCAACTATCAACATGATAAAAATAATTGAAAAATACAGCTTTCATTTCAATAGAACGAAAGATGATTTCGTCTTATGATCAAAAATCGAAAATAACATGTTTTCTTTTTCTGATAACTACTAAAATAATCTAGCAGTTCATATAACCTTATCTTCTCATTCCATCTGATTACATCAAGAAGAACTTGCATAAAAAAAAGTTTTTTTCTGTTTTCTTTCGAACACACCATTGTGTATATGCAGGAAAACGAGATTATATTACCAGATTTTAAAAAGTTTCAATTTTGACTTGTAACAGATTCACAGACTCTTGATGATATATCAGTATTAAACTAAGTTGATGAACATTCATCACAAATACCTTCAACATCTGATCAAAACCAACAAATACCTATATCATATGACAAGGGTTGATAAATGAGATATACATCTGATACTTTGAATGCATGCATTTTCATCAGCAAAAAATGTGGATCAATAGTTTAAAAATTCTTCAAAAATCGTTTTTTCATTTATATACATAATTTAATCAAAATGTATAATGAAAAACAATTGAGATGAACTTTATGAACTCATATCAAAGTACTCATGCAAATAAAGAATCTAGACGTATGCTCACGTATGAAAATTAATTGAAAAGTTATTACAAGTTATTAGAATCATTCAAGTATTATGATAATGATGAATATGCTAATCTTGAATTGTATTTAGAGGTATGACAGTTCAAATTCATCAATGGATGAAAATGTTCGCAAAACAAAAAATTAGAATCACTTCCAATTTCTTTCAAATCAGCTGATCACTAGGTTACCAAGAAATGTTTTCAACTGATTAAATCGCTTTTGAATTCGGACTTCATGCATAAGGTAAACACCAGTGAAATATGAAAAAACTTCTTAAGCCTTCTGTTCAGAGTTATATGCATTTTACTGGAGTTTCTGCCAATGACAAGATATATACCAACCAATCGAATGATGACATTTCGACTGGAGCTTTTGTTCACAAACAAGTCTATTTGTGAGTAGAATACTCTGACACTTTTAGTATAAAAGAATGTTTCATTCTGGAGATAGTAAAGTTCGAAAAACGAGAAAAAATTAGCCTCTTTTGTAGAACATGAGTATTTTTTGGGACTTTAATATATCGAGAATGAAAACTTCTTTCGACTGAAATTTTCAGAACATTCTACTAATAAATAGATCTGTTTGTAAGCAAAATTTCAGATCGGAATATAGTCATTTGATTTCTAGGTATATATCATGCCCTTGACTAAAATTTCACTGAAATGCCTATAACTTTGGATGGAACGTCTGAGGAAATTTATTCTTTTGAGATCTTTCATACCTCACTAGGGTTCGAGCTCAAAAGATCTGTTCATCGATTTACAAGAGAAGTCCTTCATTTCATAAATCTTTTTCTGGATCAAGATTTTGCATTTTTATGATGTTTTTAAACAAAGACCGTAGTTGAATCAATTGAAGCTATTGAATAGTTCTTTCAAAACTATTCGACCTGAAACTGCTGGACCACTAGTGATATTATTCTTTATGGTAAAATATATATACACTAAAAACATGATGAACTTATAGGTCTGAAACAAAAACAAAATTTATTCATTTATATTGAGAGATCGATGATTGTTAAAGATGATTTGTTTTTTTTTTTATCTTGAGACTAATTTCGTTTGTCCGAATAAACTTGATAAAGGCAATAAATTTGCTAAAATGATCGATATTGAAAACTTTCAAGTATTATTAATCAACCATGCATTGTTCAATTTCTTTCTTTCAACATAGACTCTTTGACATTATCGATAACTTCTTATGATATGACTGATTATTAGAATTTGACAATATTGAATCAACATCAAAACTTTTTTAGCACGCCAAAACTTATCCAAAGTAGAAGGGGAAATTACTTCAAATAAAATAAATAAAAGATCAAACATTTTTCTATAAAATGGTATAACAATGATTAGTTTGCTTCAAGTCATTTGTCAACAGTAAGTATTTAGTTAAGAGACCTTATGTCAATTTAGACAATTTTCTTGATTTTTATGGAAAACAGACTGACACGTTGAGCTCGGTAATTCCTGAATGATTACTCTGAAATTCTTGATTTTTAAATCATTTTGTAGAAAACAATCTCGCCTTTAATTCCGTACATGCACGATTTACACAATTTGGTGATAATATGGATTATGTATCTGTCATTGAAAGTGATAAAATTGAAGCTGAACTTAAATTTGTTTATTGAGCCAATACACATGGTATTGTTGATTTGAAAATCAAAATTCCACACCCTCACTGACAATGATATTGATAAAATATATCAAAAATATGAACAGCAATACAGAATAGTTAAAGAATT